ATAAGAACTTCGCAATTTCTAACAAAATTAAAAAACAGCAAGTTTACTAAATAATAATTTTAAGGATACAAAGAAAGATTAATTTTGACAGTGATATTAAGGATTATATTTCGGAATATTATTAGGAATTGTATTATCTGAATATAAAATATGTTTCATATATTTTGTTCTGAATATTATTAAAAGAATGATAAAAGTAGGAATCTAGTTTTTTCTGAACTTCCTTGAGTCATTTATCAAAATGCACGAAGCATTAAATTCTTGAAACAGCAATATAAATCAACTTTTTTCAAAGTTTGTTGCTTTTTAATATCTCTTTTGTACTTTCTGACTGATTCCAAGAGAATATTAAATCTCCAGTAGTTTTTACCAGGATTTTTCATTTTTAAACCATTATGCAACGTGTTGAAACAAATCTTCAAAATTCTTGTCTATTTTTCTCTAAACCACCAAATTTGCAACTTTTCCTGACTGCTTCCAATGGAACACTAAATCCTCAACAATTTTACCCAGAATTTTTCATTTTCGAACCATTATGCAACGTGTTAAAACAAATCTTCAAAATTCTTGTCTATTTTTCTTATCAATTTTTAACTTTTCACAAAATTCGCAACTTTTCCTGACTGGTTCCAATAGAATACTAAATCCCCAAAGGTTTTCGCCAGGATTTTTCATTTCTAAACCATTATGGATCGTGTTGAAACAAATCTGCACGAAGTGTCATTTAAATTTCTATCTAATTTTCTTGTCAATTCCTCTCTAAACCACCAAATTTGCAACTTTTCCTGACTGCTTCCAATGGAACACTAAATCCCCAATAATTTTACCCAGAATTTTTCATTTTCGAACCATTATGCAACGTGTTGAAACAAATCTTCAAAATTCTTGTCTATTTTTCTTATCAATTTTTAACTTTTCACAAAATTCGCAACTTTTCCTGACTGGTTCCAATAGAATACTAAATCCCCAAAGGTTTTCGCCAGGATTTTTCATTTCTAAACCATTATGGATCGTGTTGAAACAAATCTGCACGAAGTGTCATTTAAATTTCTATCTAATTTTCTTGTCAATTCCTCTCTAAACCACCAAATTTGCAACTTTTCCTGACTGCTTCCAATGGAACACTAAATCCCCAAATAATTTTACCCAGAATTTTTCACTTTCGAACCACTATGAAACCTATCGAAACAAAAGAAATCTACACGAGGTGTCGCAGCGACGAAACGCCGCGCGGTTCACCATTCGACACGTCGAACCGCAGATATTTAATTAGAATTTACACGATCGGAGGCGTGATTAAGCTCTTGTCCTCTCGAGTGTCTCTGGCTCGCGTGCCCGTTGGTTCCGGTGTCGCCTCGCGTCTTTTCACAAACGACGACGCGGCGCGACGCGACGCCTCTCTCGTTGCGATCGTGAATGGCGTTCCGTGGCGTAATTACGTGGCAGAATTTACACCGGCATAAATTACGGCCCCGCGAGTCGTCGACCTATAACGTTGGCCGTTTTCACCTTGCGCGAATTAATTGCGACTCCTGGCATGAATGAGCGTTGACGGAAAATGCGGCTGGAAACGTAATATCCCGAGACTCATTTCTGCCCCGCGCGGTTTAATTAATACGTTCACCTCCTACCGCGTGCCAGGAGAATTCGAATATGGTAACGAAGCTGCCCGTTATCGATTCGCGCCGACTAATCTCACGCGGCGATAAATATCCTTGATTTATCAAAGTGCGGCCGTAACGGTGATTGTTCGATCGTGGAGGATTTGGCGGGAACGTCGTTGGGATTTAAATATTGCAAATAGAGGTAATTATGGACGTACAATTAAGTTACTTGGAAGTGAAGTTTAAGATGATAATTTGCAGTCGTAGTATTGTTTCAAGGCGAAATGTATGGAATTGTTCTTAGAAATGTGACTGATGGTTGAAATAAATACCGCAACCATTGAGATTTTATTGAAAAGAAGAATGTATTAGCTTTAACCCTTCAGTGCTCACATTTTTCTCAACTTGATGTGCCAAAACCGATCGATACATTTAACATAAACGTACATTTAAGTTACTTAGTAGTGAGATTTCAAATGATGATTTGCAGACATAGTATTTTTTCAAGGCGAAATGTATGGAATTGTTCTTAGAAACGTGACTGATGGTTGATAGAAATATCGTAACCATTGAGATTTCACTGAAAAGAATAAAGAGAAAAGAATCAACTTGATGTGCCAAAAACACTCAATTTTATTTTATTTTTTTTTTATTATTCCCTAGGCGTGTAGAAATTAATTTCCCATTCATTCATAATGCTTGTAACTTACATTTTTGCCGTAAAGTAGAAAGGATAGCGTAATATGAAACGTGAAAGAAAATAATTAAACGAAATTACACTTTTTGCAAGATTAATTGTGCACGTGTAAAATATGGACATGAGCGTTAAGGGGTTAAAAAGAGAAACAGTAGGATTTATGATTTAACAATATGATTTTTCTTTCTGATGACAAGGATCTAATGCTTTAATTTTGGATTTAGACAAGTGGCCACATAAAACCTTAATATAAGACACAATTTAGTAGTACTTGAATTTTTAATTAGTAAGCAACGGAAGGTAGAAGATAACTTTTTAAATAACATACTTGTTTGTTTCCAAAAATGCAATTTGACGTTCTAAATCGTCGTTCTACAAGCTGCTATTTCGATACATTTTACAAACTAAACAGTGGATGTGATTAAGTATTTCAAACAAACCGTATCGCAGCAGATTATAACTTTCGTTACATTTAAAAATGCCTAGAATTTTATAACAGTAATTGCGCAATACCCTTAATTGTTTCATTCATTTGTTAAATCAGGTTAATGGCACTTCCTTATTGCACATAGTTGGTACCCTCATTAAGAACCTCTTATTTCGCTAACCTCGGGAAATATTTCAATGGACAACCATACAATTCTTTCTCTAATTAATATTCTCGATAAGCGTGTAACATAATCAGCGCAGAAATTTAATATTCTATGACCTTTCAAAATTAATTCAATGATTTAAAGGTTAAACTTGACTTCACTTTTCGCTAAAACGTAACGATAAATTTTCATATTTAAAAATCGTGTAATTTAATTGATTCGTACAAGGAAGGAAGCGTCGGATCAATCGTTGATATATTCAAAAGAAACGTTGAAAGCGTTGATTAATTTAAACGACAATTCCTCACGACACTATCTTCTGCCGCTTCTTCATTTTCTGCAACCAATTGCTTTTATCTTAATCATTTTCCTGTATCCTGAACGGGAAAAAAGATGATCCGATGCTCCGTTACTGGTTGATTAACTCGTTGAAGTTGTGGCTCCCTTCAGCGTTCGATCTCTTTCTCGATTAACAGTTTCGTAATGAGAAGTATATACTATTAGGGAACATAAAATGCAGCTAAACGTTTAGTAAGAAGATATCCTTTCAATGAAACGTAATCGTTCTTCGAAACTATTTTCTAAGCTGTTAATGCCAAATTTTAAACAGACGAAATGTCTACCTCTCGTAAAAAGTGGGTAAGAATGACCATTAAGAATGACCAATTCACCTCGGACGAACGTAAAATATTCCTGAAAATGGAGAATAGACGTACCCTATAAAATGCGTACGCGTATACAGAAAATTCAGTAGAAAAGAGCAAGTAATAATTAACAGACTAGCTAAAAAAACAATCCTACCATACAGTGAACTCTGGCAACAAAATTCAACCACCAAACATATTCGATTAGACTGCAAGAACATGGAAAGGTACCAGAAACCAGCTCCAAATGCCTAAAAATATTAAAGAAATATTTGGAACAGGGAAAAACCTGAAGAAAACAGTGGAACTTGTCGATACGATAAACCTTTACTGTGAAATGTAGTATGGATAGGATGTTACTGCGACTTTAAATTACATTTAAAAAGACACTATTCCTAGTCAAACGAATAACAACTTTCTCCAAACTATTCAAATATTAGGAAGATCCTTTCACACTAGCTTTACATCCCCACCTGAAAATCACAAAACATAAACCATGAATCTCTAACTCAAGCTACTCGTTCATCTTCAAATCATCCGCACCAAAGTACAGTTGGCGATGAAATTATTAGAGCCACAATACGAAAAATACGTTTTTCGATAATACGATATCAAGATTTTCACACCAGATAACTTTTAATTAACGATTGTTCACTAAAGAGTAACACTAAAGTCAGTATTTGGTAGCGCTACCTTTCGCTGCAATTACAGCCTTCGTTCTTTTCTCCACACATTTTAAGTAACTTCCTATGCATTGTAAGTAGTAAAAGCACAGCGAGAAAAATTAAAATGCTCCAGATCTATAAACCAACAAAACTGTGTAACACGTGGTTCTCAGTACTGATACCAAGTGACGTCCATATGACACATAATATTACCTAAAGTGTCACCGAGTGAATATTTGCAATTTATAAACATCAACTCTGCACAAAAAAAGTAATAAGAATTCACTATCACCACGTTTCCATCTAAAAAATTAATCGTTACAACGTAAAACCGTCAATGTCTTACTATCTCCAACAATTACCCACTGTAGGTAACCTCCCCAAATTTCGAAAAATCCACACGTCGATAAAAAATCTCCACTCAAACCAAAAGAAAATACACAATCCAAAAGAGAGCTCCAGAATTCTCCACCCCGAAGTTCATCCTCGGAGCAAGCGGCTATAGAGAACCTCGGCGTATCGGAGAGCGTCGGCGAGCGTCGTAAGCGTCGCGCGAGCCCGTGGGGTATCTCTCCCATTCGCTCGGTCGTGGGACGTCCCCTCGTGAATCGTGGCCGCTCGATCGACTCTGGTGGGGCAGCTCTAGGAGCAGTTGCACGTGGTGGCGCGTATCCTCGGGCGAAATTTCGGTCGTCGTCTGTACGCGTGCACAAACGAGAGCCTCTCCTCGCCGTTCTCCTATCCACCGTCCTCCGGGACCGTTCTGGTAGGGCAGAATTCTTAAGGCGACGTTCCCGATGCCGGTGGTGGTGGTTCTCGGTGGTGGTAGTGGTGGTGGTGGTGCAGCAGCAGCTGCCTCCGACGACGACGCCCGTGTCGCCTGGTGGTGGTAGTGTAGTAGTAGTAGTAGTAGTAGCTCTCGGTAAGAGCACACCGTACCTACCACCTCCCATTTCGTTCGTCGTCGTCGTGCTGGCACACGGCTGTTAGCTATACTTTCGTACGGAGAGCCGTCGTCCTCGTCGTTCAGTCGGTCGGCCGC